TCAGAAAATTAACCTCACATTCTTAATCTCTGGTCTTTTTGTCTTTTTCCTTCTTGCAAAGAAAAAGATATAATTGATTCTCATGTAAACAATTATTCTTTTTTTTTTCTGAGAGGTTTTTGCTATAGGGCGTGTGCACTCAGCAGACAGAGAGAGACAGAGAGACAGAAAGCGAGAAATCACCCCCCAGGGGGGATGGCCACACCACAATCCCTTCTCCTCCATTCTCCTCTCGGCGGGATCTTGGGCACGCACGCACATGCGCCCAGCATGAGTTTTAAGCCACCGGGTCTGGGACGTGAACCGCGGTCGACTACGCGGGAGTCCAGCGACATAGCCATTACGCTAACTGCTGGTCCCAAACAATTATTCTTGCTCTACTTTGTAAGCATAAACTCTAACCCTGTTAGCATCTACCAAGATCCAGGAGTGAGTCAAGTGAATATCTCACCATCAACCTCTGGTTTTTTTTTTTTTTTTTTTTCTTCTAGCTAGCAAAAGCTACCTAAGGAAAAATAAATAAATAATAAGATTCCATCAGAAAATTAACCTCACATTCTTAATCTCTGGTCTTTTTGTCTTTTTCCTTCTTGCAAAGAAAAAGATATAATTGATTCTCATGTAAACAATTATTCTTTTTTTTTTCTGAGAGGTTTTTGCTATAGGGCGTGTGCACTCAGCAGACAGAGAGAGACAGAGAGACAGAAAGCGAGAAATCACCCCCCAGGGGGGATGGCCACACCACAATCCCTTCTCCTCCATTCTCCTCTCGGCGGGATCTTGGGCACGCACGCACATGCGCCCAGCATGAGTTTTAAGCCACCGGGTCTGGGACGTGAACCGCGGTCGACTACGCGGGAGTCCAGCGACATAGCCATTACGCTAACTGCTGGTCCCAAACAATTATTCTTGCTCTACTTTGTAAGCATAAACTCTAACCCTGTTAGCATCTACCAAGATCCAGGAGTGAGTCAAGTGAATATCTCACCATCAACCTCTGGACCCCACCTGCCTCCAAATCCCTTCCCACCCCTTACTCGATTTATGAGCTCAGACAAGTTACTCTTCTTTTTTATTCCTCAGTCTTTCTTCTCATCTGCAAAAATGGGAATAATAGTGATATTTATGAATTAGGTTATGGTGCAAGTCAATACTCCAAATTCAATTATTTAAATTTTAAGAAAACTTAGATTTATTAAATCAATATGAAAATTCCATTCAATTTGTTGAGAAAATTAAGTGAATTAAATGATTTAGACTGGAAGAGTGACCGGCACATGATGGAACTTGTGTGTGTGTTAGCTATGATGATGATGATGATGATGATGATGATTAGGTGCTGATCCCCCTTTCTTGACTCCTACTCAAACCACACATGAGACATTTTACTGTCCAAAGTAACTAAAGGCCAAAAACTCAGAAATAAGCATGGCATAGAGAAAGAAGCAGCTAAACACTGACAACCCAGAATCCCATAGCCACAGGGGATACTCGGCTTTGCTACCCAGGAAGTGTCCTAGACACCTCCACCCCTTCTTTTTCTCTTCTAATATGGGAAAAGTCTCTTCAGATTCCAGCTAGAAAGTTACTCCTCTCACACCTAAGAGGAAATCATAACCTCTGGCACTGCCACCTTTGAGGACTGACCACAGGGCAAAGGAGGTAACTGCTGATGCAGGAAGATATCGGAAGAAGCCATGAGAGCACAGCCCAGCCCAGGAGAGAAACATTTTCCGTAGGTCCTAGGTGACAGTCCACAGCACAGAGGCAGATATCAGAGGAGCAAACTACCTGAGAAATATTGATTAAAGATCCATGTCTCAAAAACACTTTGAATGATTAGTAACAGGAGTTAAAACCGTCTGCAGAAAGAAATGTGAGCCACAGTAAAGATGGTGACATTCTGCCCAGTAACGGAGCACAAATCAGCAGAACTGGGACGACCCGGGTCAGGAACATCTGGACCTCCCTCAGAGGTACACCAGGGTAAAGATTGGGGTTGCCATCTGTTACATTTGCATACTTTAACTGTATGAGAATGATCAAGAGTGATTGAACACTGCTAAGTGTGAAGGGCCATTCTAATCACCTTTCTTGCTGATTGCACACATATTTGGGGGAGGGGATCAGAGGTATTTAAAATAACTTGACCCTCTGTTAACAAGCGATCAAAATTAATTAACACAACTATTCATACACTGTCTGAATAATGCCCTATAAATTATAAGTAGTTTCTTAAATGCATCTAATTGATAAAGTCTATGCACAGATTCTAGACTGTAGTCTCCAGGGATATTGATTAAAAGGTTAACTTCTATTTTCTTTTTTCTTTTTTTTTTTTTTTTGAGAATTATTTTTTATTTAAATTTTTTTTTAATTTGACCAGAGAAGGACAGAAAGAGAGTGAGAGTGAGGGAAAGTGAGAAAGCAAATCGCCAGGACCAGGACTCAAACCGTGGTCAACCATGTGGGAGTCCAGCGCCCATAACCACCATACTACCTGCCAGTCCCACTAACTTCTACTTTCTGCCAACTCAAAAATAAAATAGTCTACCTGCTGAAATCTAAGGCAGAATTTTCCTAAGAGAGAGCAATAGAACAGTAGATCTGAAGGTTGCCAATATGAAATTTCCAAGGGAGAATGCATTCATTGGTCTCAAAAGTTTGGGAAATACCATCACAATCAACATTAAACCAGTTTGTTTCATTTGATTCTATTTTTTTTTTTAGAATTACTTTATTTAACTTTATTTATTTATTTTAATTTGACCAGAGAGGGACAGAGCACATGAGAGAGAGAGGAAAAGTGAGAAAGCAAGCCACCAGGTCTGGGACTCCAATCACGGTCAACCATGTCCAGGGCCCTTAACCGCCACACCACCTGTTGGCCCCTCAATTCTACTATTATATTGCAGGATTTCTCAGAACCTTTCATGGGCAAATGAGCATGGTCAAGCCATAAGAACAGATATCAGACGCAGTTTCCCAAATTATCTGATGAGAGGATTCTTCCCCAGTTCCTCCTATGGCAACTTCCAGAACTAAAGTGTTTGGTGAAACACTACTTAGGAAATTCTGCTATGGGTTCATTTTATTATTTCATTTTGAATCTAGCCAATTCCAAGCCCCCACATCCTTTAGAAAGAATAAAAGAAATCTGAAAGAAGCTTCCAACATATTTCCCTGGTGTTTAAGTTAAGGTAACACTGCTGCTATAACAGATAAACTTCCAAATCTCATTGGCTTTACATAAAATTCACTTCTTCTCCAGCAATAGGAAAATGCAAGTAAAATAGCCCTGGAAGGTTTGAAAAATCTTTCTGTACCCCTCTCCCAGGAGTCTGATTTGACTGTTCTGGAGTAAGGCCAGGCATTGGGAATGTTTTCTTAATCTCCCCTAGGATTCTAATGTGAAGCCAAGATTGGAATACACTGAGCCAAGCAATTATGAAGACCTCATTTGGCATCTTCCCATTTAGATCTCTGGGTTAGGCCCTAAGGAGACCATGCTGGGAACATTTTTAGATCATTATTAATATAATGCTGTTTAAGAAGTTCAGAGGAAAGGCCAACCCATAGTACAGTGGTTGAGGGAGCTGGATTTCACATGGCCAACCATGGTTTAAATTCCAGCCATGACAGCTTGAAAAATACACTGGATGCTTGTTCGCATGTGCCCCAAATCCTGACAGGAAGGAGAAATGAAGGAAAAGAGATTGTGGGATGACCATGCCCCATTGGGGGTGCATCTCTCTCTCTCTCTCTCTCTCTCTCTCTCTGTCAAATGCACATGCCCTCTGGTGATTAAAAAAAAAAATTGGGGGAAGCTGGTGGGGGAGAGACTTTGTAGAGAAAAAGGATTAGTTACCTGATTTTATCTGTTACTGCATGAGTCTCCCAGTTATTTCAGTGCCATGAATTATTCTCCACAGAGCTATTTTGTTGATAAATTCAGACTTTAACTTTCCTGGTGCTTGTCTGATACAAAATCCAATAGAACTTAGAACACCACCTACTATTTAAGCAGTCTTTACACATTAATTTTTTTAGCAGTAGAGGGTAGTGGTTAACAGTACTCTGGAGTCACTTAGTTTAAATACTGGGTTCACCACCCAGTGTGACCTTGGATAAATTGTTTGACCTCGGTGCCTCAGTTTCCTCATCTGTAAAATGAGAAGAATAATCCTAACTATTTCACCAAGCATTGTGGGGATTCAATCCATGGAAAGGTCTAGAATAGTAAAGGCACATAGTAAGCTTTAAATTTTCAATAGTGCTGGCTATTCTTATAAATTGTTTTTATTTTCTTCAAGTGCAGGTCAGTCTCTGGTCTAGGCTTTGACGGGTTCAGAAAAGAAGGCCACACCTTTGCTCTCAAGGAAGTCATAACTGGACATGGAAGAAAAACGAACAGAGGGATTGTGATAGATGTTACTGGGTTTTCATGGCATTGTGTGCAAAATTCTGAGAGGGTCTCCAGGCTGACGTATAGGGGCAGCCCAAGAAGGCTTCCTGGAAGAAGTGGCATTAGATTTAGGTCTGGAACTGTGAGATTAGATCTACAGGCACAGTCTCATGCTATTGGAGTGACATAGAAGAGAAAAAAGTGAATCAAAAGCCAAGCCACAAGCCCCCGGAAGAGATATTTCTTTGAGAGTTTGCCAACAGCACAGGGTGGCTTCACTCTACTCCTCTAAGACAGGGACTTGGCTTCTCTCTGTGCCTGGGATTGTACCTGCTTTGGAGACTCCCCCAAACACTGCCCAACAGCAAGCATGGGCCTCTCCTGTAGACAGACAGGCGGTGATAGTCCATCATGTGGCTGTGGAAATGCAGACAGGACTGTAGGACCAGCAGTGGGCAGGCCCAGAGGCGGGGTGAGCACAGCAGTGGGGAGGCAGGGACTGTTCTGGGAGGCACAAAAATTCCAGGTCATGGCTCTGCCTCAGCTCCTTCAGGATATCCTGTCATTCAACCAGGACATATATACAATTTAGGTGGCCAGTCCCACTAAGACCCCTGAATTTGCCACTTTTCCTATCTGGAGCAGGTCTTCTATATCTTCTTGTTCAAACCAGGAAAAGGAAAGGAAAGGGTTTAAAAGTAAACACTGAAATGAGAAGGAATTCACTGGGAGTTCGTCAAACTAAGTTAGAATAGCTAAGTCGTTCTGACAGGTGTCTGGCACAGAGAAAGAGCAAACATTTCCTCATCATGCTACAACATCTAATACTTTTTTTCCTTGGAATTGTTATACGAAATGTCTGCTCCCTGGCTGAAACCACTGGGCAGGTAAGGTGAGCCTTTCATACTTGATTTATCTGTGAATTTTCAAGATGTGTTTGAAAGCTTTTTGCTTTCCTATGTAGGCATGCATAATGGGTGCTATCTGGACTTCATAGAGTAAAGGACAAAGTCTGTGGAAAATAAGATACTAAGGGCGAGTCACCAACTTTCTGAAGGTTAGAACCAGCTGGTTCTATTCCTGTGCTAAACCACCATTGTGGGGATCTATGGGTTTAAAGCTAGCTTTCTTTTTTCCACTGCAGATTTTGTCATTCTGGGTTTTATTTATTTTAATTGTCTTTGAATCCATCTTTCTGACTGGAAAAAAAAAAAAAAAAAAAAAAAGCTATGGCTGTGGAGAAATGTTCTAGGGAATTCCAGACTGGATGATATCTGTCTCACTGAGAAACAAAAGTATCAGAAATATTCACACAATTCTTCAGGCCTTCATCCTTTCTGCCCTCCAGAGTTATAGTAAAAGCACCCAGCACAGTCTTGTGGGTAGCTCCCAAGAATATCAGCAAACAGGCCCCTCAGCAAGCTCACACAGTTGTCATCCCAGAGTGAGACCAAAGTATCAGTGAGAGTCAAACGGGGGTGATTCATTTAAGATGGATTTTACAATGTATGATTTCCACTCTGTTAAGGCTACACCTTCCGTATGATTCTGCATCTGTAACAGGCAAATTTTTATCAGCACTAACTTTACCCCAGTTGATGGTAATCTGATAAAGCTTTTCACAAAAATATGGGAAAACGACTTAATGGCTAGACATTTCAGTCCTGAAGTTCGATAGGAAAGAGTTTGAAAAGCAGCTTTTATTTGCCCAAAAGATATTTCTAAGGACCATTTTCGGCACTCCGTGGCTTACTGCTGTGTGACCCTGAACACGTTCTCTCTCCAACTTCAGTCTCACTCTGACAGTGCTCCACGTATGGTCCAAAGTACAACACCCCGACCACCATCATCCTCCTTGAGTCCTTACAGAAATCAGGCCTTGGTGCTGAAAGCTGAGTTCATTTTTCATAGGAGACAAGTTTACAAATACTGTCTGAGAGGCAGAATGTTTTATTGCATTAAAAAAAAGTAATTTGAAGGTCACAGGATTTCTGAAGAAGAGAATATTAAATTTGGCCTAGTAAGAAAGAAAAGATAAAGTGATGCCATCCCTACAGTTACCTAAACGGGAAGCCCTAATGTAAAGAACACCCTGTTTTTGTTTTTTTAAATGTAACTGTTAAAGAGGGATAATTTAAACTGTGTCTTAGTGCAGTTTTTATTGTTACTTCATAAAGAACATTGCTATGCTCTTTTGGTCTCTAATGATCACCAGAGGAAAGCTGTCAGTAAAAAAGACACCTTTCATTTTTCTGTACGCCACGTGGGTACAGGGAAGAGAAAGGGCTGATCAAGGGAACAGAGCTCCAGTAAATTACGGTTACTTTGGGCGAGTCACTGCACTCTCCCTCTCCAAGTTTTCTCCCCTTCAAATGAGCATGATGATGCCTGCCTCACTTATTTTTAGAGCAATCAAAAACACATCAGATAATGCCTTTGGCAGTATGCATAATCATAAATTTTCTGTAAATGCAAGGCTTCTTCTTGCGCAGGCTTTACACATTTCAGTGAACGTAGAAGTAGTGATGACACTTCCACCACACATAACCTAGGGCTGGGCCCGTAGGATGACCTGTGGGATAACCCAGAAGGAGGACCCATGGTTCTCTCCCTTAAGCTTTAAACAGAGAGAGAAGACGAAAAGTGGGCTCCACTGGGCCAGCTATAAGAGCCGAAGTTGAGAAAAGGAAGAGAGGAGTGTATTTAACACTCATCATTTAACACCATAGATGGTGGTAAATGCCTTGAAGGACATTTTTGGGTAGCCAGGGGGAGGGAAAGAACATTCCCGCCAGCAAAGGCAACAGGCAAAACACAGAGTTGGGATATGGAAGAGTCACAAGTACTAGCGTTCCCTCCCTGTGACCCTCCAGAGACTGTGCCAGTCCATTCGCACCTCGTACATCATTGAAAGGTCTCGCTGCCTTCAAGAGTAGCTATTAATATCTTCCCCTTGCAGATGATGGCAAAAGGGCAGGTGTTCATTAGAAACTGGACACCTAGCAAGATACAGAACTTGACTCCACATTTAAGTATACTGACCCCCAAGTTCAGTGTCTCTTCTTTGTGTAAATTTGCCTTTTTGTAAACTTAATCAAGATGAAGGAATTAAGAAAGGGAAAGCAATTTGTCTGAGAGAGTCAGCCCTAGCATCATGAGCAACAGGATCCTGAAAACAGGATTATCCAAAATGGGTCTGGATAATTCATTTTAGTCGTTCATGCTCTGCTGCCTTATGTTACTAAATAACTGTGTCTAGTGTGTCAGTCTAATCTCTCCCAAATCATTCATTCCACCAACAACAATATTCACTGAGCACTACTATGCCCAGACACTGTTCTAGGAGCTCAGGATACAGCAGTAGACAAAACAGTTGAAATATAACCTGAAGAGTACAGATATCTTTGGAATAGGAACTGCATCCTCCACAGCATTTAGCACTTGCTGGCCCCAGAACCAATATTCCTTTGGAATCAATGGTGCAAGAATATTCTTGATACTAGTGATCTATGCCCAACTGATCTCCAATACCTTGCTTGAACAATCGCCCATTTGAAAAGTGTGTTCTGCAATGTATTCCAGGTCCCTCATTTGTTTGGGTGAGTATGTGTAGTAATGCCACCTTACCTTGCCAGACTCCAGACTCTAAGTCAGGGATGGCAAGTTTGTAGTATAATCAATGCCCCTTCTTCACCCCAGCCATGGTAGACATTGCTTATTAATCCCACACTCTGTCCAGATAGGATTGAAAGTAGCAAGCCAGTCATTACCAACCAAAGCTATTGCCATTCCTGGCACTCCACTAAGATAAAGCCAATTGACCAAAGCAGTTCTTTTGCGAGTCTCTGGTAATTGGAAATGATGTCCTTATTTATGTTTGCACAGGCAAAAAGATGTGATCAGAAGTCTCTCCTAATAATTAGGACTGAGTGTCAGTCCTGCCCACTCAACTTTGGAGTCAAGTGTCCAGATGGTTACACCAAGATTACCAATGGCTCTGTTGGGGTTCGAGATTGCAGGTACTCATTATGAGAAAATTAATGTGATCAAGTGTTAGAACTCAAGGAATTGTGAATCCAAACTGAAATTTTCTATCACACGAAATGCATGATCTTAGTTTTGCTTTGAGATTACACTGAGCCCAAACTTGGGTATTTCACAATTTATAGACTTGAGTCTAAAGTGTATGTTATTCTTCATTCATAGTTTAACACAACATGTATGTGTATTGCACATAGACATTCTTTTTATCTTGCTTTTCTTTTTTCATTGTGATTATGCTTTTACATTTAATCACTATACATCTTTATGGTATATAAAATGAATTTTCCCAGGATGAATACATTGTATATTAGTTCTGTCAAAGATATTACCATAGGCATTATCATCAATAGACAATTTTCCATTGTTGTGTCTATTAAATGTTTTGTCCCCCCCATTCCTTCCCTCCCATCTCTCATTGCTCACCCACATCCCACACTACCTCTAGTATCCAAAGTTGCTCTTCATGCTTTTATAGTTCCAGTCTTTCCATTTCTACCATAGAGTGCAGACTTCTGGCATACATTGAGGACATACAATGCCTCTCTTTCATAGTCTGGCTTGCTTCACTTAATATTAATCTTCCATATTTGCCCACTTTCTGTCAAAGCCAGGGTCTCATTGTTTTTTATGGCTGAATAGTATCATCCTTCTTTATTTTGAAAATTGAGGTTTCTTTCCATTTGGAAAGGGTTCTAGTCCAAACATGTTGGGTCTCAAAGCCATCTTACTAATTAACTATGAATCCAGAAACTATTTAGAATCCAAAGGAGGGGGGCAAATGAGTTACAGATGGTTGCATTTTATGTGGAGGTTGCATTCTCAAAGATCTCTTATGAGTCAACAATCTCATAATTCAAGGCTAATTCTGGGAAAGGATGACAAGTAGATCTGCTCATCAGCTGAGCGTAGCCGTACACAAGTACTGCAAATAGTTTTTTGTTTACTCGGTCTACTATTAATAGTTTAGAAATTAGACAGTAGTCATTGAATTCATGTAATTCAAGAATAATTTTTTTTATTTTGGATAAAATAAAATCTTAACGCTGTTATATCACATTATTTTAAATTTGCATTTGCTTGGGAACCAGCAGTTAGCGTAATGGCTATGTCACTGGACTCCCACGTAGTCGACCGCAGTTCGCGTCCCGGACCCGGTGGCTTAAAACTCACGCCGGGCTCATGTGTGTGCGTGCCCAAGATCCCAAGAGGAGAATGGAGGAGAAGGGATTGCGGCGTGACCATCCCCCCTGGGGGGTGATTTCTCGCTTTCTGTCTCTATGTATCTCTCTGTCTGTCTGTCTGGCGAGCACACGCACCCTATAGCGAAAACCTCTCAAAAAAATTTTTTTGCATTTGCTTAATATGACTGCACTATATTCTAAAAACAAAATCATCGTGTTTAATAGATATTTCCCAACATTAACTGACCTAGAATTAGCAAGCAAGTTGAACACTCAATTACCTAAGTGAGCTCATATTTGCAACCAGTTTTGAGGTTAAAATTATATGGCTTCCTACTGAGACCGCTTTTACGGTGTCTGATTTTTATTTATTTTTTTTTGGCATACTGGAGGTGGGCATTTAGTTATGTACTCCCCACCCCCAACACACGCATGTACACACAACACACACACACACACACACACACACGAATAATAGGGTTGGTTTTTTTTTTTTTGCATCTGTGCTTTCTGTTTTAGAATTGAATATTTTGACCTATCATTCATTTATGCTAGAACAAACTAAAAATTAATTCTTTTTCTTTTTTATGCTTTTGGGACTTTTTAAAACCACATTGAGATCTAAGTGACATACAAAAACATGTACATATTTGTTTAATGTATAAAATTTGATGAGTTTGGAGATAAGTATACATCTGTTGAAACATCACCACAATCCATCATCCATTGTTTCCAAAAGTTTCCTCCCACCTTCTTTATTTACTTATGAGAGGACTTCAAAAATTTTAGAGGGTAGGAAATGGAATTGAAGTATGAGTTTATTTTTGTGCAAAAATTTTTTAAATCCCTTACTAGTTTTTTCATAATATATATTTTCCATGAACTTTTGAAGACCTCTCAAATTTATGAGTAAGGCAGATTCTTAACCTAAGCTCTACAATCTTAGCAAATTCCAAGGCCTATATTATATTATTGTCAAGTATTGGTACGAGGTTATATAGTATTACTTCTAGATCTTATCCATGTTTCATAACTGAAATTTTGTGACCTTTGACCAATACCAAATAGGGTGCCATTTTAGTATTCTCTCAACCCCTAGAAACCACCATCCTATTCTCTATGAACATGACTATTTTAAATTCTTCATGTAAATGAGATTATGTAATACCTGTCCTGTGTCTGGCTTCATTTATTATAATGTTCCCTGGGTTAATCCATGTCATTACAAATCGGAGGATTTCCTTAGTTTTTTTAAAAGCTGAATAATATTCCATCCTAAGTATTTGCCACCATTATTTGCCATTTATTCATTTATCCACCAACGAATGTTTACATTGGTTTCATATCTTGGCTATTGTGATCAATGCTACAATGAATATGGAAATCCAGACATCACTTACAGATCCTACATTCAATTCCTTTGGACAAATATACCCAGGAATAGGATTCCTAGATCATTGTTCTATTTTTTATTTTTTTAAAGAACCTTTATACTAATTTCCATAGTATTAGTGACTATAGAAATTTACATTCTCACAAACAGTATACAAGGATTTCCTTTTCTCTACATCCTCACCAATCCTCATATATATGTGTGTGTGTGTGTGTGTGTGTGGCAATCTCTTCTCCTTCATTCTCCTCTCAGGATCTTGGGTGTGCATGCACATGCACCCAACATGAGTCTGGGACTTGAACCACAGTTGGTTGACTTTTTGAAGTCCTTTCATAAGTAAGTAAAGAAGGTGGGAGGAAACTTTTGGAAACAATGGATCATGGATTGTGGTGATGTTTCAACAGATGCATACTTATCTCCAAACTCATCAAATTTTATACATTCAATAAATATGTACAGGTTTTTGTATGTCACTTAGATCTCAGTGTGGTTTTAAAAAGTCCCAAAAGCATAAAAAAGAAAAAGAACTAATCTCAAATGTGTTCCATTACACTGTTTGCTAGTCCCTCACATATTTTTTTAAATAACAGTCATCCTAACAAGTGTGAGGTCATATCTCACTGTGGTTTACAATTACATTTCCCTGATTATCAGTGAGCTTTTCATATACTTGCTGGCTATTTGTATGTCTTCCAAGATTGATTTTTATAAGGGCATTCCATTCTGCCCTGGGGTTCTCTTTCTGCCTACCTTCATGAAAACACACCTGCCAATATTCTCAACCTTTCAAGGAAAGGTCAATTCTAAACACTTAACAGACACAAGAATGTAAAGTTCTCTATTAAAATGATGCATATGGTAATATCATTGATTTGATGATCATGTACTGCATGCATACTTTGAAAAACCATATTGTGCACTGTAGGTATGTGCAATGATTGAATGTAAATAAGAAATTATCATTTGTTTAATGGGGGGAAAAAAAAAACATGGAGAAATGTCCATAGAGCAGGGGGAAAAAAAGTTAATTCTATCCCCAATTTCCAATTTGATCATCCATGAAGCACATGGCTCTGCCAATCAGTTATATCTCAGGAACTAGTTTGAGTATAAACAAGTTTGAGAATTCTATTATAAATCTTGAACTCCCTATCACACTATTGTTAACAACCCAGCTGAAAGAAATTATATTTACAAAAGATCGTCATTAGATATGCTGAAGCCTAATCCTGGAATAGGCAGTACCTGCAGAGATCCCTGTAAGTAGACAATGGTATTTAGCCTCCACAAAATTGTTATTACAGAAATGACCCTCAGCAGGATGGGAAACTATTCTGGGGAACTCGTCAGAAATATCTCCTGTAAGATATTATGGCAGATGTTGCTCACTGCAGGACTCCACCTCTACCACAGAAATTTCTGCATCTATTGCACCTGCAATAAAATATGCCAATCCTGAGCCATAAGTTTGTGTCGAACTCATGGAAACTATACATTACATAATTCGTGATCTTTCCCTTCTTGCATTGTCTGCTAGGATATTCAGTGACTAGTGTAAGGCCTATGTGACTAGCATGTGTCCAGGACCTAACATCATTTATTTCATCTGTTGATTTCTTTTTTTAAAAGAATAATTTTATTTAACTTTATTTATTTACTTATTTTTTAAGAATTATTTTATTTATTTATTTTTTTTTTCACTTAAGTTTTGCCAGAGGAAGACAGAGAGAGAGGAAGAGTGAGAAAGCAAGCTGCCAGGTCCAGAACTTGAACCATAGTCAGCAGTGGGAATTCCAGTGCCCCAACCACCACGCCACCTGCTGGCCCCTCATCTATTAATTTCTGGTGTTAGTGTAGATATTTTCCCCAATGTTCATGATTCCCTGACTTTTTCATCCATTTCTTACAATCAAAAATAATAATGATTGGGAACCAGCAGTTAGCGTAATGGCTATGTCACTGGACTTCCACGTAGTCGACTGCGGTTCGCGTCCTGGACCCGGTGGCTTAAAACTCATGCCGGGCACGTGTGCGTATGTGCCCAAGATCCCGAGAGGAGAATGGAGAAGGGATTGCGGCGTGACCATCCTCCCTGGGGGGTGATTTCTCACTTTCTGTCTCTATGTCTCTCTCTGTCTGTCTGGCGAGCGCACGCGCCCTATAGCGAAAACCTCTCCAAAAAAAAAATAATAATAATAATGATTAAGTTTTATTTTACCTAAAATCAAAGGTGTTCAATCTATATTTTTTAACTATATGCAAGTATAAAGACCTAACTAAAATCTAGGACAATCCTTCAACTAGAATTAACTGTGTGGCTCTGATCAAGAATTGATGTCGTCTCTTTTCCCTCCAAGGTACACCCTTGAGATCAGAACATACTCTCTGTCTGTCCCTGGATGCCGCCATATTTGTAGGAAGGATTATGTCCAACCTCAGTGTTGCCCGGGCCACTGGGGCCCAGACTGCATGGGTAAGTGGCACAATGCTTGGACTTTGAAACTTGTGACTTGATATCCTATTTTTATAAAAAGTTGAGGCAAAGGAAGTTCATTAACAGGAGAATGCGAGCATCTTTTTCCAAAAATTTCCATTTCTCTCTATATATAGAAAATTGTTCTTGCCCCATCACCCATTATAGAGAAATCTACTTTCTTACAATGGAATTCTCTTTTTTAAGAGAGTTATATTATAAGTCTTTTATAAGTATAAAGACCTGAATAAAAATCTAGAACAATTCTATCACTAGAGTTAATTGTATTCTTCTATAAGAAAGACAATTAAAAGGATATCCATTTTGTTTAAAAAAAGTAATTGACCAAAAAGAGAGAAGTAAGAATACTTAGTGATAGACACCAAATACAATTTTAATAAAGAAACCTTATTATAACATATTAAAGACTGTAGTTAATGTTTCAGAACCAAAATAATCATTAAATATCCTAAAAATGTAAGTCTTAAGATGAAATATAAAGCTTTATAATATTGGTCTTCAAATCCTTAAAGCAAAAGAACTATGTAAAGTTAGCTGTGTAAAGCTGTGTGAGGATATGGACATACATCAAAAATTCATTCTGATTAAGTGCCACTGTAAGAAAAACTATGAGCCAAGTCTGCATCAATGATATAATTAGACTTCTGTAATCAAATATAGCATTTGCTGGCTAATTTTTTTTTCCCATGAACACATGTGGTTGCCGGAGAAAGAGAGAGAGGGAAAGTGAGAAATCACTCACCGGGGGAGATGGTCATCCTGCAATCCCTTCTCCTCCATTCTCCTTTCAGGATTTGGGGCACATACTCACATCTGGCATGAATTTCAAGCTGCCAGGTTCAGGACTCAAACTACTGTCAGCCATGTGGGAATCCACACTTTAACCACCATGCTACCTGCTAGTCCCTAAAATTAATTATTTTCTTTTAATTGTCAGAGGGTGCATGCTCTTGCCAGAGAGAGACAGAAAAAGAGAAAGACGGGAAAAGCACATCTCAGTGGGGCATGGTAACTCTGTAATCTCTTCTCTTTTGGTTATTCACTCTGCTGGGATTCTGGACACAAAAGTCAAGTCTAGTCTATTGTCAAGCCACAGGGCTAGAATTTACACCGTCATTCGCCTTGTGGGTAATTTCTCTCTCTGTCTGGTTCCTTAACTACTAGGTTACAAGTTCGACCCTGAAATTAGATTTTGTTCTTAATTCTAGATGTTAACACTCAAACAGTGAACGATATTCATATTATGTGAAATTCCTTTTATTCTCTTTTGGAAGTAATTTCCATTCTTGAATTTACCATTTGTCCCCCACATTCTAAGATGTCGTGAAACTATCTCCTTAGCTATTTAGCTTCTAAATAGATCACCCATTATCGTATGTATAATGTTCTGCCCTATTTTGTCTTGTTTTTTAATGAATAATTAAATGAGTAGCTTTTTTACTCCGCATTGCTGACATTAGACACTAGAGAAGTATTCCACCTATATTATTATCCAATTTGATTCTTTAAACAAATCTTTGAGGTAAATACTTTTATCTCCATTTTGCCTATGAACAATCAGAGATTTGAAAATTCTCTCTTGCCAGTTTTCTGTAGACTGGTAAGTAATAAATCAAATTCAAGTTTAGGCTACCTGGCACCAAAGCCTCTTCATACTCTGTCCTGCTGCTTGGACCAGAGCTTGTCAAAAAGAAAAAAAAAAAAAAAAAGCCAGGCAATGGTGCAGCAATAGCCCAACTGGAACCACATGAGAGTGGCATAGGTTTGCGTCCTGGGACTTTCTTGTGCACACCAGGTATGCATGTACCATGATCCAGGTTGGCTCAAACTAGGAGTGGTTAAGGGTATGAAGACCCTGTTAGAGGTTCCTGTCTCTCTGTCTCTCTGTTCCTTTCTCTGTGTCTTCTCTCATGGAAGAAGTAGATGGATAAATTTTAGAAAGATCCTCAAAATACATATCTAATTTCTCTCTCAAATAGTAGATCCTCTCAGCCTTCTCAGTCAATGTCTGTAGTAATGCCTATTATTAAGGTCGCTGCTCTGGCAATATCAAGGTCTGGGATTTAGATATCCTGTCCCTTCTCTGGGCCGTGGCCCGGCTTTGCATCAGCTTCATCCTAGCATGTAAACACTGTGCATTTCTAAGCACACAGATGCTGTATTCTTCAAAGCAATTCATACAAACTTCCAGATGTCAAGCATGCTTTTAGTATCAAACGCGGTCACGGTCATTTCCAGTTTTATAGACATCCTGACACAACAGAAATCACTTAGATTTGCATTTTTATTCCTCACATTAAAAACTAATGGGGTGCTAAGATACTAATTAGACACACTGTAGACAAGAAATGGCTTTTTCTGAGGTGCAGTATGAAAGTCATCGTGTCCAACATATTGAATGACAGACCACAGCTGGGAAACAAAAACACTGGACCCACCACCACAAGTTTTAATTTGAACCTAGTCCCATCATCTTGTTTGGGCAAGTGACTTCCTGTTTATTCCTCAGTTTCTTCATCCATCAAATGAGAGTTAAAAAGTCCTAGCAGGTGATGTGGTAGTTAAAGAGCTGGACTCCCACGTGGCCTACCATGGTTCAAGCCCTGGACCTAGAGGCTTGAAAATCACACCAAGCACACGTGCATGCATCCCCCAAATCTTAAGAGGAGAATGGAGGATAAGGGATGGCCATCCCCCCAGTGAGTAATTTCTCTCTCTGTCTGTCTTGCTCTGTCACTCTCCTCTCCAGTGAGCACACGTGCCCAATGTCAAAAAAAAATTTTTTTTCATTTAAACAAAAAACACTACAAAACAGTAATAGAGATTTTCAGACATTCATCTAGGTAAAAGCACTTGTAAAGTGTATGACACAGAGAAAGTACTTTATAAATGTCTAATGAATCAATGAATGAGTGAGTCAAGTTAAAATAGGCCTCCACTATGACAGACAAAATGACATTCTCCGAGCCCCTTTTCTAACGGTGAGTAACTTGTAACACATGAGCAAGAAAAAAATGCAAAATCTTTAGTAGGTTTCACTTCACCACATTATGCAATGTGTGGGCCAAGGTGGCAAGTTTCACATCTCCAAGAACCCAAGTGTGAAAGAATTCTTTCAGTTTTCAGGTATTTTCTTCAGAGAGGTCTCAAGGCCAGAGAAGCAAAACACATGAAAACTGAGACCTGGACATTATTTCTGTTGTCTTTTCATGGGGGGGTGGGGTGGGGGTTGGTGGGAGACAACAAAAGGAAATTTCCCTTTATCTTAATCTTCCAAACACACTAAATGTCTCGAAAGGCTTCCTTCCTTTGGTTCAGGAAAAAGATAAGTCCTCTACGCGGCTGCCTATATCACCTCTCACATTTTGTGATGATGACAAGCAAGATCTCGACTGTAAAAAAAAAAAAAAAAAAAAAAAAAGCCAGGCAATGGTGCAGCAATAGCCCAACTGGAACCACATGAGAGTGGCATAGGTTTGCGTCCTGGGACTTTCTTGTGCACACCAGGTATGCATGTACCATGATCCAGGTTGGCTCAAACTAGGAGTGGTTAAGGGTATGAAGACCCTGTTAGAGGTTCCTGTCTCTCTGTCTCTCTGTTCCTTTCTCTGTGTCTTCTCTCATGGAAGAAGTAGATGGATAAATTTTAGAAAGATCCTCAAAATACATATCTAATTTCTCTCTCAAATAGTAGATCCTCTCAGCCTTCTCAGTCAATGTCTGTAGTAATGCCTATTATTAAGGTCGCTGCTCTGGCAATATCAAGGTCTGGGATTTAGATATCCTGTCCCTTCTCTGGGCCGTGGCCCGGCTTTGCATCAGCTTCATCCTAGCATGTAAACACTGTGCATTTCTAAGCACACAGATGCTGTATTCTTCAAAGCAATTCATACAAACTTCCAGATGTCAAGCATGCTTTTAGTATCAAACGCGGTCACGGTCATTTCCAGTTTTATAGACATCCTGACACAACAGAAATCACTTAGATTTGCATTTTTATTCCTCACATTAAAAACTAATGGGGTGCTAAGATACTAATTAGACACACTGTAGACAAGAAATGGCTTTTTCTGAGGTGCAGTATGAAAGTCATCGTGTCCAACATATTGAATGACAGACCACAGCTGGGAAACAAAAACACTGGACCCACCACCACAAGTTTTAATTTGAACCTAGTCCCATCATCTTGTTTGGGCAAGTGACTTCCTGTTTATTCCTCAGTTTCTTCATCCATCAAATGAGAGTTAAAAAGTCCTAGCAGGTGATGTGGTAGTTAAAGAGCTGGACTCCCACGTGGCCTACCATGGTTCAAGCCCTGGACCTAGAGGCTTGAAAATCACACCAAGCACACGTGCATGCATCCCCCAAATCTTAAGAGGAGAATGGAGGATAAGGGATGGCCATCCCCCCAGTGAGTAATTTCTCTCTCTGTCTGTCTTGCTCTGTCACTCTCCTCTCCAGTGAGCACACGTGCCCAATGTCAAAAAAAAATTTTTTTTCATTTAAACAAAAAACACTACAAAACAGTAATAGAGATTTTCAGACATTCATCTAGGTAAAAGCACTTGTAAAGTGTATGACACAGAGAAAGTACTTTATAAATGTCTAATGAATCAATGAATGAGTGAGTCAAGTTAAAATAGGCCTCCACTATGACAGACAAAATGACATTCTCCGAGCCCCTTTTCTAACGGTGAGTAACTTGTAACACATGAGCAAGAAAAAAATGCAAAATCTTTAGTAGGTTTCACTTCACCACATTATGCAATGTGTGGGCCAAGGTGGCAAGTTTCACATCTCCAAGAACCCAAGTGTGAAAGAATTCTTTCAGTTTTCAGGTATTTTCTTCAGAGAGGTCTCAAGGCCAGAGAAGCAAAACACATGAAAACTGAGACCTGGACATTATTTCTGTTGTCTTTTCATGGGGGGGTGGGGTGGGGGTTGGTGGGAGACAACAAAAGGAAATTTCCCTTTATCTT